TCTGGTTTCTGTTTATGGTAGAGTCAGGGACAGGCAGCACACCTGCGTTCCCAGGGCATCAAAGGCTGACTGCCTTTCTCTTGCTCTCTGGTGGGGGAGAGGGGGCGGAAACCAAGATGGGGTTCGTGTCTGGCTACATTCGGTCACCCCTATTCTCCTCTTTCCACAAGGAATAAGGGGGCTTCCAAAAGAAGGGTTTTTTTCTGACATTTGGTCTAGTCTAGACAGGCCGAATGTTGGAAAAACCTCTTCCTACAGAAGAATTTTTTTTTTAAGCAGCAGTATAAGGATTGGGGATAGCAAGTGATGGAGAGGAGGAGAATTGAGAGGGTAAGGCTTCAAGGAAGGGGTGGGGCTTCAAGGAAGGGGCGGGCGGTAGATCTTGGCTTGGTCTGTCATTTAAAAAGTGATCTTGGGTATAAAAAGGTTGGAGACCACTGCTGTAGTCTATATCTGCTGCGCCTTCTCCCTCATAAGTGACCTAGATTAATCTCAAAGGCCACTGGTGATGTAGAGGAGAGATCTTCCCTTATCAAATACTTAATTTCCTTGTCTGTTTTGCACTCTACCTAAGGCCTCTTTGTATATCCAGCCAACCCCTATCCTTCTAAGATGCAGGATCGTCTGCAAGAGTTATCTACAAAAGCTTCCTGGGGTGGGCAAGAAGCCGAAGGTGGTTTTCCAGGGTTAGTCGCTAGTAGACTGCTAGCATATTATTTACCTGCATGTCCGCAGGTATGTCCGCTTGCAGCTCCCATTGACCATACATCATTATTTCCAGCCAATGGGAGGGAAGGATGGGGAACCTTTATTGGGTCAGAGTCACTGACCCACAGAAAAAACAGTCAGGGGCCACACACAAGTGAAGCAAAAACAACAAAAACCTCAACCCCCAAGTGAGTAAAAGGGGGGGGGGAGACATTCCTCTCACTCCCCCCAAGCTCCAGCTCCACAGGAAGGGAGAGGGGTACCAAGGCTCAGGGCTCTCGCCCCACCCTTCCTTCCCCAGGGATACATTAACTCTTCTGGGGCCCAGGGCTAGTGGATTTTGTGGGGCCCATCTAGGATGGGGCAAAAATTGAGGGGGTGAGAGTGCAGCATCTGAATGGGAGAGAGGGTACAGGAGTGGTCTGGGCAGGAGATGGGGGTGCTTAACTGGCCTAGCTCCTGGGTGGAGGAGGGGACAGGATGCAGATGGGTCTGCGCAGCTCTGCACACTGCAGGGAGCACTTCCATGCAGCATGCAGAGCTGCATGCAGCTGCTTCGTCCCCCCTGCCAGGCAGGTCCAATTGAGCCTGTGGTTTGCTTTGATTGGCCCCACATCAGCATCAGCCAGTGCTGGAACACCAGCCACTGCGCCTCTCACATGGCTGGCATGCCAGCACGAGCTCATGCCACTGTTGGTAGGAGTAAGCCCAAACATTACATGCTGGATCAAGGAAAGGTGTGGGGCTGCATATGGCCTGTGGACCATATATTTTCCACCCCAGTCTAGGGGAACGCGTGTCAGCATTAACTTAAATGAAGTTTCATATCAGAATTTACTGTCAATCTGGCAGTATTGACAACTTTGAGTGTTTTAAAATTACAGGCAGTCCCCGGGTTGCCTGATGGTGGACAGGCAAAGAACTACTTTGAAGTGCAACTAGAAAAAGACACAAAAACTAACAGTATTTTTTTAAGTTAGTCAGAAGAAGGAAGTCTACAAAACAGTCAGTGGAGCCACTGGACAACTGAGGTGCTAATGGAGCACTGTAGGAAGAAAACGCTGTTACAGAGTAGCTAAATGAATTCTTTGTATTGGTCTACGCTGTACTGGATGAGAGAGGCATCCCTGCATCTGAACCGTTTTGGGGGTGACAAATCTGAGGAACCTTTCCCAGGTTGAAAATTCAGCAGAGGAGGTTTTGGAACTAATAGATAAATTAAATAGTAATATACCACTAAGACTGGATGGTGTTCACTCAAGAATTATAAAGCAACTAAGATATGAAAATCGCAAAATACTAACTGAGATAAGATACAGATACCTGTCACTTAAATCAATCTCTGTAGCAGATAACTGGAGGTGGCTAATGGAACAGCAATTATAACAAACTCCAGAGGTAATCCTGGCAATTATAGGCCTAACTTGAGTGCCAGGAGATTGTGCAAGAGTGGCCGCTTTTGCGTCAGATCGTGCCAGTTGTAGACACAGCCACTGTGTGTAGCTTCAGGGGGAAAATTAGGAATTCAAAGGTAAATTGAATTAATACAGACAAGTATGTTGGTGAAGTATGATGGAGTGGAAAGATCTAATTTATAATTTTATAAATGTTTTCAGAGTCTGTTACTGATCTTCCTGTGAAACCTGATGGTGGACCTTTATTTACAAGACTACGTAATCCAAGTACAGGCAAGTTTGCAACAGTTAAAGACTCTGTTAATATTATGCTTAATTCCTCTCATCTCTTAATCATTGGATTAACATTTTGCAAGCTGAAATGATGTGTGAATCTCATGTGCCAGAGATTTAGCTGCAGATTCTGTTTAGCTAAATCAGTTTAAATATTTTAGATTTATTTTATAATTTTAATTGGTGAAACTGTTCATCAGACATATTGGGCACACAAAAAATGGTGTATTTCAAATGCATTAGTTTTTGGGTAACCACAGGCCTTTCTTTTCAATCCAAATTTATGATTCTTCAGCAAATCACCTTATGCTATAAAATAAACTTTCAGTTAGTAAAGGCTTCTACTACACTTGCCAAACTTTTGAGCCTTTTCGTTTTTAACTACAGTTTTCTTTTTACTCAGTCCAAAATGTGGTATCTCTTTTCTTGTCAGTAGATGATGATTTACCTTTAATTGGAAACATACTGGGAAAACAAATATTGTAGAAAGTTTAATGAACCTTCTTCCAACCTCCAAAACAATCATTTTCTATTTTGGTTGTTTAGCTAGAGTAACTTAAATTTGCCTTTGTCTAAGACTTTCTTTTCATTAAAGTATACAACATTAAACCCTATTTAGTTTACTTAAACAGAAAATCTTCATTTTTAAAATAGTTTGAAAAATCTGTTTCAGGTTGTTTCTTCACATCATTCATAAATGAATTTGCTATCTGTAGGATTACTGGGGGTTTTTAAAAATGTCACCACTTATGTTTATGATACTAAAACAAACTTGGGAACTTAATTACAAGTACAAATATTCTGTTAGTTTCTGCTTTGCATAAAGGAAGAGACTAATGAAAGACAAAAGATACAGAATGGGAAGACAGTGTACTATTTCTGTTAAAAATACTCAGAATATAAAGCAGTACACATCTTCAATCAACAGTACTGAAATGGCTTTACAGTTTGTCTCCAGAATTGAAAAAAAGGTGGATAAGAATTTATATTTCACCAGGGAAGGCTGGTGAACTTGTTGGTAATCTCTTGAACTTGTAGAATGAAAAGTGTGTGGATAAGGCTTTTAGAAAAAAAATTGTAAGTATAGTTTACACCAAAGCTGGGTATCTTCCTTTAGAATTATCAGAAGCTTATTTTAAGACCTGTAATGTGCAAACTTTTGGTTATGTAACCTAATGTATGAGTGCAAGGTTTGAAATAGAAAGAGAAGAAATACCCTTTTGGTATAATTTTATTATACTTGTGTCTTAATAAATAAATTGTCTCCAAATACTGTATGAATGTCCATGTAATACTGGTGTGTTCTTGAGTGTTCAGCTAGGACTAACCAACTCTGCAAAATCATACAGCTTCCCAAACAAAGTCTTAGTGATTTTCCATTATATTAATGGAGATTGTCACAATATATTTGACATTTTGTAATGGAAAAATCATATAGGAGGTTTAAGAATGATCCATCCCACTTTGTCCACATGAAGCAATGAGAGAAGCAGGGGGATTTTGTGAAGGGACCTAAAATAAAGCAATTCCAGTCATCTACAAGATTTGAAATTTCTAATGAAACCTCCTAATTCAGATCCCTTGTTCACCTAATGCATTTAACCCATAATCTCCTGCATTTAACCCATAATCTCCCTAAATCCATGCCAACACACACAAGTAAATGACAAACAACAAAATGGCACTTAGACTCAGGTTTCTCATTTCCTATCCCTGAGTCAGATAACCCAGAGGCAGACACAAAGAAAGAAGAGGGAAATTCTGGCTACCACCACCCCCTTTCAGACAGAGAAAAGCTAATTACTTGTGTGATCTGATTTGGGTTTGAATCAAAGGCTTTATATTGTAAGATGAACTATTCACACTTCTTATTTATTGATTGAAAATTCAGTAGGGATTATAGAGCTGGTAAATGAACATCTGTATATAATAGTTTTCTTTGTCTAAGCTTACTTTGTAGTTAAAGTTTATGTAGAATGTATGTATGTTTATGTATATATTAGGCACATTCTTCAGATGTATTGGATGGTCTTTTGATTTTCATGAAAGCTTACAAATACAAACCAGATTTTTTTTTAACAGGGGAAGCTGCCCTCTACTTATTCAATAGCAGTGTACAGCAGCTGTTTGAAGTGAAAGCTTTTCATGAAGAATATCGTTCTTGGTTTATAGGTCAAGCTGTTCAACGTGGTAAGTAAGATAGTGTTTCTACTTCCTTATCCCTAAGTGTAACTCATACATTTCCCCCCATAAATTTACTGGTGCGTCTCCTAATTGTGGAGACCAGTAACACAGTTATCTCCACATTCTGAGGCATTCACGTGCCATCTGGATTTAGCCAGGGGCGGGGCTTTGTGGTCTCTTAGAAGACTGCCTTTGGCAGTTGCAATCAGACAGATGTTCATGTGTCTTGGAAAAAAAATTGTTGTAAACTCAAGTGACACAAAATATTTAGCTTTTCTCGTCAGTCAACCTGATGAGTTCTCGGGACATGTATGCATATTTTATTTTTAGGGGAAAAAAGTATAAGTGGACCCGCTTATTTTAGCAATGAAATATAGTTTCAGGCATTGAAACTTTTGATCCCTCTTCCTTTTACCTACGACTCTAGATCCCAGAAAAGCTTTGGGATCTCAAGCTGATGGTTCTTTTCTGTGGCTGGTGTTTAGCAATTTCATGTCCTGGAGCAAGTTCCCCTATTTGTTCACAACCCTCTCCTCATCTTAGTCTATCTTTTTAAATAGAAGGGAGATATCTTCTCACCAGGAAGATCTAACAATTTTTTTCAATCAGTGAGGATGTCACTAGAGAAGAGTTTCTTGCCCAGTCAATTATTGCATCCTATTTTATTAGATTTTTTTTTCAAGAAAAAGCATCATTTAATGACAGAGGAATAAACAGTTTACTAAAAACAGTATATCTTCTTTAATTGTATTATCCCTAGGTGTGTATTTAATTCTAAATTTCCTTTGCACAGGTGCCTATACAAATAGTCACACTTCAAGTAAAGCTGCTCTAAACTTTGAGTTGCTACGGATTGATGTTGAGTCAAGCGAGTGTGCATGCTTCATGCTCCTTCTCCCACTTTATGCCTTGGCCCCTGAGAAATAGCTCTAGTAGGGAACCATCACCTATATTTTGTTTAGAAGCCTGGAAAGGTATTCCTAATTGCTTTGAGAGTTTCAGGGGCATGTATACAATTAACTCCTGTACCTCTGAAAAAGTTATACTTCTAAAGATATTTCAGCTTATTGGTTTTTTCTTTGAGTTTTCTATGTATAAGTCTGAAATTCATTAATTTTTTCTCTTTCTGTAAATGTCTCCATGTTCAACCTATTTTAGAGCATATGAATCTGTGGAAACTTTGAGAAGCACTTTTCCATTTGTCTAACATATAGGTACCTGTGCCAGGGAATTCCTGATTTTTGATTTCCTGCATCCCCTGAAAGAGACACTCCAATTCCCTGTAATTCATGTTATCTTCTCTTGTAGGCCTTTTTTTTCTTTATATCTCACTGCTAATGCAAATGTACTCCTGGAAGATGGGTTGACCTGCATCTCAAGTAGTAGCATATCTGTTGTTGTTCTGAATGATCTAGAATCAGACTGTAGAAGCAACTGTGTGAAAAGTGTAACATTACCTCTGTTTGATAGGCAGCATGTCACCTTCACAGCATGCTCCATCTTCAGCCATTCCAGAAACTTAGACTTGATATCCCTGTGAAATATAGGGTGACTTAGGTATGTTGCTCAAGAGGGTGAAAAATTAAGCTGATCAAAGCCCCAATGTGTACACTGATACGTCGACGAATTCTGTTGAACTGGCTCTCAAGGGGGTGGATTGAATACAGTATTAAAAGTTAGCACTTACATGACTATTCCATAGTCCCTGGGAGCAGGGTTGGCAGCCAAGACACTCCTGGGGAGCCCCCTGCTATCCTACGCTGCTGCCTCTCTATCAGAGGCAGCAGTGCAGGGCAGCAGTAGCCCCTGCCTTCAGGGAGGATCAAGCTCCCCACGGACAGAGATTCCGCCAGCATCCCACGGGCACAGCCTGTGCCCGCAACTAGGCTGGGCCTTCCAAGAACAAAGGCTGCTCTGCGGCAGCTTCGCCTGTCCCCCACCCCCTACTTCCACTGCTGCCTCACAGACAGCAGCAAGGGGGCGCAGGGCCAGGCCATTGTAGTGCTTGTAAGGTAGACATATCCTGTGTCCCCTGTTGCGTTCTAAAGACCAGTCTTTCTTACTTTTTATAATTTATTTTAAAATGTGTAATAATATCTCAATGTTTGGATTTTTCTCATATTTTCTAAGTGACAGTAATGTGTTACAGGCAGTCCCCGGGTTACGTACAAGATAGGGACTGTAGGTTTGTTCTTAAGTTGAATCTGTATGTAAGTCGGAACTGGCGTCCAGATTCAGCCGCTGCTGAAACTGATCAGTTTCAACAGCGGCTGAATC